TTTATTTGAAAGAGTTATCTTCGGTATATACTGTCTACTGTAATTTATGGCGTTATCATCGGTATATACTGTCAACCTGTGTTTTATAGCGTTATCCTCGGTATATACTGTCTACCTTTGATTTATGGCGTTATCCTCGGTATATACTGTCTACCTGTGTTTTATAGCGTTATCCTCGGTATATACTGTTTACCTTTATTTGAAAGCGTTATCTTCGGTATATACTGTCTACTGTAATTTATGGCGTTATCCTCGGTATATACTGTTTACCTGTGATTTATGGCGTTATCATCGGTATATACTGTCTACCTGTGTTTTATGGCGTTATCCTCGGTATATACTGTTTACCTGTGTTTTATAGCTTTATCCTCGGTATATACTGTTTACCTGTAATGTATAGCGTTATCCTCGGTATTTACTCTCTACCTGCGATTTATGGCGTTATCCCCGGTATATACTGTCTACCTATGATTTACAGCGTTTTACCCGGTATTAACTGTCTATCTGTTGGTAACAGCGTTATCCCCGGTTGATTCTGTCTATCTGTTGTTAACAGTGTTATCCCCGGTGTATCATGTCTACTTGTTATTTACATCGGTATCCCCGGTATATACTGTCTGCCTGTGTTTTATGGCGTTATCCCGGGTATATACTGTCTACCTATGATTTACAGTGTTATCCGCGGTATGTACTGTCTACATGTGATGAACAGCGTTATCCCCGGTTGATTCTGTATACCGGTGATTTATGGCGTTATTCCCGGTATATACTGTCTTCCTATGATTTACAGCGTTATCCCCGGTATTAACTGTCTATCTGTTATTAACAGTGTTATCCCCGGTTTATTCTGTCTACCTGTTATTAAGAGCGTTATCCTCGGTATTTACTGTCTACCTGTAATTTACAGCCTTATGCCCGGTTTTTACTATCTACCTGTTATTAACAGTGTAATCCCCGGTATATCATGTCTACTTGTTATTTAAATCGGTATCCCCGGTATTTACTCTCTACCTGTGCTGTACATCGTTACACCCGGTATATACTGTCTACCGGTGATTTATAGCGTTATCATTGGTATATATACTGTCTACCTGTGCGTTACAACGTTATCCCCGGTATATACTGTCTACCTGTGATTTACAGCGTTATCCCCGGTATATACTGTCTACCTGTAATTTACAGCGTTATCCCCGGTATATACTGCCTACCTGTAAGTTACAGCGTTATCCCCGGTATATACTGCCTACCTGTGATTTATGGCGCTATCCCTCGTATATACTGTCCACCTGTTATCAAGAACGTGTTAGATTTGTTTAAAATTGAAATGTTCTCACTTCTGCCTATTGGTCAGTTGTCGGTCATTTCAGAACAAAGAAACCGGATGTTTTCCGAAACCCGCATTTTTGTTTAACATAATTATTTTTGTTAAACGGTGAGAGATCGTGTTGAGAAAAGATACGCTTGTGTTATAAAAAAACGATTTTTAAGACTAAATTTATCCACATAGCTCCGTAATTTCGAAAAGATAGTTTTCGAAATTCGTCCCATACAGCGCCCTCTATCGAAAATGTAAAATCATACAATGAAGGAACATAATCGATGGATTCAATGGATCGATTTTGCTCGTTGCAGAAGGAATTCCATTAGGAAAAATAACCTTTTTATAGACAGAAATGTTAATGAATATCAACGAATCTATGTGTTTTTATGTGTACCGATTTTTTTTAAGACACGGTCGTAATTGTGATCTCTAAACTACGTCGACAAGACGTCAGATCCTGACAAGTATACAACATCTTGCTTTAGACGGCGCATAGACGTTGGATCTAGGTCGTCGACGTTGCAACCTGAACACAACATTAATCCAACGTCATGCGTTTACTGGGCAGCAACCGTTAATGTCAGCAGAACTCTACAATCTTCCTCGTAAAGCAGATACACCATAACAGGGAAATTAGAATTACAAAAAATGACGGACGGAAATCAAACGAAGACGTCGGTGACCAGCTTTAATGCGAGGAGCTTCGTTAGCCATGTTGTACATTTACTAGGCATTGGTGATGAATATTTGAAGAGCATTCTCACCTTATCATCCATTTCTATACTGAAGAAGCGATCTAACATTTGATTTAAGTTAGAACGGACGGCGTTACATAACATGATCCAGATGAGGTATCAGCTGTTCCATACCTCCTGATTAATTGCTTTCTAACAGCCTGGCGTTCATCCAGATGCATTTTGGGAGTTGTTAGCGGGGAACAGGTACAGGACGAACAGAAGAGGTCACCGGGCTCCGCACGGCAGAAACATCAACAAGCTCGATTGTAAGCAATAGTGAGATTACTGGCCCATATTTATTTTACACTTTTTATAAATGTACCTCGAAGGTAGCCTTTAACCCTGTGCCAAACAAAACAGTGGGGTATTGTTAACCCCTGTCAGGTTGTCTTTACGATACGCTTGTAGTTAATCATTCAAGATGTGATTTAAAGAAGAAAATGTCCTATCCTTTACTTTACCTTGCAAAACACGTCCCATCTAAAATCATCAAACCCAAATCTGATTTTACTCCAGTACTTCATTTTAATAACCTTTTCCTTGTCACTCTTATAATTATAATTTCTGTGTTTATAAAAAGTACTTACCACTTTTCGCCCTAAATGTCGTTTTTTCAACCATAGTTTTTTTTTACGAATTGGTGTCTGGAGCGGATTTGTTTCTTGCTGCGTTCTCATTCTGACATTGCCCACCTACCGCTCTAAAAGCTTCCTCTGAACGAAACATGTTTCTTCTCTTTCTTAATGTCTTTCTTTTTAAGGTATACGAGAAAAAAATCAAAAGCTTTAGGACATAGAACATATTATTAATCTGATGCTTGGTACGTTTTCCAATTACAGAAATCGATGTATCACTGACTATTTTGATATTTGATCTTTGAATTAACTAAATGTGATGCAAATAATTCTAATGTTAAACAATTTTTGGCATTGTAAAATAACGGCAAGGTGTAATAAAGCAACTGTTTCTGGTGCAGGGGTGTCAATATGTGAATATTCCTAAAGGGTGAGTGTTAAAGTGTCATTGTGTTAATGTATGTGTTTACGACAGCGTAAGTGATAATATCAGTGTACGTATATGTGTTTGTTTTACGACAACGTAGGTAAAAAATAAAAGTATGTAAAAATGCAAATATTTTTAACGACAAAGTATGGAATGTATGTAATAATACAAGTGTGTTTATTTGTGTGGTTTTTGAACAAAAATGTAATACAAATGTATTCATAAAAGTGTGCTTCACAATTTGTAATAATACAAGTTTATGTATTTTTACGATCTTGTGCAATGTATGCATAATACCAGTGTAAAAATATGTGTTTTCGACAATGTGTGAACAATGATGAAAGTGTGTTGAAATATGTATATTTTACGACAACGTGCGACAAAATGTGTGTTCTCATGAAAATATGTTGATTTACATTGAAGTGAGTTTAAGGACACTGACTGTATTGCATAATACAAATGTGTGTTTATTACTATTTGGGTGTTAAATTATAATCTAGCAGTGCTAATTAACGCATGTTTATAATTACAAAATATTGTATAGTGAAAGTATGCTAACAATGTGTGCTGTACGGAAATATGTGTGATACCCTGTTAGACATCCTTAATACCTTTAGTCTGTAAACATGAAAACGAGCAATATTTGTCAAAATACAACCTCATGTATCACATTGAAATCATAAGAAATATTACATTATATAATTGTCAGTAGTATCACGGGTGTAGTATAGCAGATCGAAATAAGTGTATACCTGGTAGCAGTAAGCGTATAATTGATATCAGTAAATGTTTAACATATAACAAGAATGTATAACAGACAACAACTAGTGTTTACGAGAAACCAGTGATTACAGGTAACAGTTATTGTATCACAGATATTAGTTTATACATTCCAGATAACATGTATTGTGTTACAGATAACAGCTAGTGTATAATATAACAGTTAGTGTTTAGACGATAACTGTTAATGTTTATCATAACAGTCAGTGTATACCAAACACAATGTAACAGTGGGCATGTAACAGATAGCAGCTAGTGTATAACAGATCACAGTAAGTGTTAAGACGATAACAGTTAGTATATATCATAACAGGTATTGCATATCATAACAGTTAGCGTATAGCTGATAATAGTTATTGCATAAAAGATATGCAATAAGAGTTCGGGTATAACACTTATTTTATTATTAGGAAACAGATTGTAGCTATTGTACAGTACACATTGGGTTTTTTTCATAAAAGATTAGAAAACCCATATTTTTCCTCAGAAATATATCGAACTGTCATCAAGTAGAATTGCTTTATATTGTTTATTTTAATGGTTAACTACGGTAATGTGAACTGTAGAGAACGCAATGGCCTACATTAGAGACCAGACAGAGAATACCTTGCTCTTTCTACTTAGCAGTTATAGACCCCACTACCTGGTTAGTATCGAAATGAAACGTCTTCGATTAGAAAAATGCATGCACGCGTCACACGTGGCCCATAACTCGCCAGCAATGTTTGTGTAAAGCACGCGCAGATAAGGGTGGGCAGGAATAACACAGTAATGGTTCTGAGACACACCATATGCATACACAGATTTTCATTCCATCTGGTTAAATCCCCCCTATGGTCTACACAAAGTACACACTGTATACTTTACACACGCTTGTTTATATGACATAGCAATATTACTATCTATATGACGGCCACGTGCATCAGCTTTTCAAGTATTACAAATTATTTAGATATACAATATCGTGTATTCCCTAGTAATGCACCGAGTCCATTGAAAATGTTCTTATTATAAAGGGAGTTTCGTTGTGTCGCCTATTCAATTAATTGCTTTCACAATTGCCATTTTACCTATTTGAATATTAGACTTAAAGCCCAACTTTAATAGTTTAACTAATGTGGAAGACGCTAATAAAACATATATAAAATATTACGACTTACCTAAAATTGCTGCATGGATGTATAACCCAAGTCCCCACTCTCTTGTGTCGCATCTTCTCTCGCATTAACGAATTCCTATTTCCAAACAATTTCATTGCTAATTTATTATCCGATGGTTGGAAAAATGAAATGAATTGGTCTTTCAAAAAGCTAGTGGGACTAGTCTTTTGGTCTGCGGACGAATTTTCCCCAGATCCAGGTAATAGTTCTTCCTTCGGTGTTCCGTAAAGAGACGTTTCGTCCCCTACAAATTTAACTTTAATACCATTATTGTAGTTCATGTCTGGACTGAGATAGTCGCTGTAAACAGAGTCTTCGTCCGAGTCAATAGTTATAGTGATGGAAGGATTTGTAGGACGATTCGTGCACTTAGGTAGACACGGCATAGCTCCGTCAGCCTTATCCTGACTCAGGTTCATACGTTTGAGCTTCAAGCTTGGCACTCGTCTGGACGGCTTTGGAGGTGTTTGGGAACTTCCGATTGGATGCGAGGTCTTGCGTCCGGCATTTCCATTGGCTGACTTGGAAAACTTTACAGAGTCCGACCGGGTTATCTTTGGAGAGAGATGTACCTGTTGTAAGGTGCTGGCCTCGCTTTCTGTGACACTGCTGGCTGCCTCACTACCTCCCCTAGATCGATGGAGAGCGGGAGGAGAGGTGCGCGTAGGCTCGGGAGCTCGGCGGTAAGGTGAGTTCTGATTACCTGACGACTCTTCGTCTGATGAGTAAGAAACCGGGCGATCATGCTCCGATATATCGATCAGAGGCTGGGAAGAGGGATTCCGAATGTTGGCCATTCTGCTGGTATGTGCTGGTGGCACCTGTAAGAGCAAACATCAAAGAGGAAGTTAGTTTCAGGTAAATACAAAGCATTATTGTTCAAATAGAGAACGTTGAATTATTTCTCTCGTTTGAACCGGTACAGTGTTTAGCACGCACATAAGTGCTGGTCTCTACCCAGTCTACCTTCGCTAAACCCGAGACACGACCAACCGTTAGATCGATAAGGCTCCTTAATCCAATAAACTCACACGTTTTTATGCCACACTAAAAAGACATTCGTAACAACATATCCTTGTATCTGGAGGTGATGTGCTTCGTTCCTCTAACAAAAAAACCCGTCTCTACACAAATCGAATCTTGTAATGTCGTTCGTCCACTGTAGGACACCTTTGTTGTGGCAATTATACGTACAAGGACAATGGCAGCAGGCACCACCAAACCACTGCCACACCTAAATGTTGTCGTCACGTTATAAAGATTGCTAGATAGGGAAGAGATGGTCTCGTTCCAAGCTCTAGATTTGTGCACAAAAATCATCTACATTGTTGACGAACAGCGAAATCGTCTAAGCGACCATTGAACACTATCAGGGAGGCAAATCGAGTAGCATAAGCCCGAGGGAAATACTTGAACTTTAAATTGAAATTATAGCAGCTCAACGACGTCAGCAAGAAATGTGTTTTTCAATCTACATTAAAGGGGAAAAGACATATTTAAAACTGGCAATAATTAAATCGTATGCCTTTCTTTAACATTGTTACGACATCGTCCAGCATCTCCGAAGAGCATTATGGAGGCGTGCATCTACTTTTAATTGTAAACGATGGGAATTGTGTACTACCGACGGAACAGTTCGGAATGTGGATTATTTATTTACATACTTTAGCTATATATAAAGAGTAACACTCGAAACTAGAGTGTTAAGACTTATGAAATGGAGGTTCAAGTAACACTCAATAACACTGTTGTCAATATTATTTACATTCATGCATGCAGGTGTTTACCTTCAAATGATTGTTTTGAAATAAGCTTCCTGAACCATCTGCATCATAATCAAAATACAGATAAACAATTATGGGGAGACAAAAAAAAACGTTCAATAGGAAAAATACATTTACTAGTAGATACTTTTGAATCCAACGTTTCATCCAGTGTCACTGCCTTAGTGCGAGTGTCTGTTCCAGTTAAATTTTAATGAAGACGTGTGCGTGGTATACGTAAGTGGATGTAGATCTGGCTCAATTTACTGTTAAATGTGTGATTGAACTAATCCGGTATTTCCCGATTGATCTACTCATGCAACAGATCTAAGCTTGGAGACGATACAACCGGGACCTATCGGCCGTTGTCGGCCGTTTTATCATGGTAACAAAGGCTCTGATTATTGCAATTAGGGACCAAACGTTTATTATTAAGGGACACATTTCTAGAACAGGAATTTTCTGCGACGCGAGCACCTGCCCGGGTTGGGTTCATCAGTGATTGTGTACAGCGTCAAAGACGAGTCCATGGACACATCAGAGGTGTTCGTGTGTGTCCCTGGTGCTGTTGATAAGATAACATATCTAAATGTCGCGAGTCCAGACAGGCGCATCATAGAAAGGGTATCCGAGGCGACGAGATACACACACTGAAATGACGCAGCGGTGTGGGGACATATTAATCTAATTAGCGGTGTACGTGAAGAAGGTTTATTGGGTTCTAAATCCATCAATCAATTCGTAACGCCACAATACGTTAATAATAGCGTGTATCTACATACATATTGTCAAGCTTGGCTTTCTAATTTCCTCCAAATTGTTTGTCTTATTATTGATACACAGTTTATGTAAGAGTTTGAACTGCGCGTGCGTTGGAAACAATCTGATTAAATGCCATAGACTGCTTGGCTCTCTAATTAGAGTTCCAGCTTACTGCACAAATTACTAAAACTTATCAAAACTTTATTAGCTCCGGATATTAGCTACCATAAATGCAAACAAAAAATGCTCTCCTCCAGCATTTATGTAAACAGAACATTTCCCTAGGGACAACACATATCTAAATCAGGAAAACCACTAACCAAACAACGCATCATCTCACAGACTTCAATCTTTTGAATTCTGATTTAATGCACACATCAAGGTTAACTATTTATAGCACAATGCATTTCTTCTCCATGTTTTCAGTAGTGTGTCCTCAATATCATACGCGTGCATTACAGAAACAACATGATGTTAAAAAGCCATCAATGAGCCACGTGTTACTGGTAGGGTTTAGAGTTTATAGCAAAGCATATAAGTACCCGTACGGGACATGTACATATAGGTACATGATACACTTATAATGATTACACGACAGTGTATATATAATGTTTTAAAACATGCAATTGTAAGTACATGATACGAGCTATTAATGTTTTTGATAGTAAAAAACAATTAACGTACACGTACATGAATATACACTGGTTATACACTACACATTACACGGATATACATGTACTATGGAAATGGTACGCCCATCTTTTATAGTTGGGTTTCAACCTGATCAAAATGCAGTTTTGTAGGAGGCTACATGAATTTATGCCGGAACACTGCAGAATTTAGAGTGTGTTTCTTCTGTTAAAGGTCAATTGAATTTACGATTTAGTTAGCAGCCAGATAACTGGGTATTGTCATAATAAAGCCAACAACTGTTATATGGAATGCGGTTCGTTCTCAACCCTTTGGGTTTTATTGTACATACATGAACATCTACATTATTTACATGCACACCCATTTAGTGCGCGACCAAATTCTAAATATACAATATTGAGTCTAAGATAAACCTCTGGAATCTGATACGAAACTTGGTTAGTTCCTCTTAATGAGGTGGCACACATGTTCGATATGATTCCACACGTCATCATTCGATAAATACATTGTACGATATTTTACGGTTATAAACGATGAATTACGAAGATATACGCTAAAGAACGGAGATAAAAGATATAGGTTATGGAAAGATATACAATATATTACATGTACGGAGATATTCATTTTTCGACGTGTAACGGAGACGTAGATCATTAAAATTAAGGCACCGATCTACCACTTGCCGTAACGATGCGTTGCCTGCGTAGCCTATTGTTTTTGAAAGATAAGTTCACGTCCTTTTGAGACAGGTATAAATGGTTCCATTTTAAAATGCCGTCTAAATTTTCTATGATTTTTTAGAAGTTATGTATGATGTATGTTTTCTTTTTATCATACAGTTGGACATGAATGGACATACGTTAACAGATTTTTTTAAAAATATGAATACAACAAAACCAATAAAATCTGATATGATTTCACTGCTAGTGTTGTTGAGACAGATCAGATTGATGATTTTGATGATTTATTTTAGTTGAAAAGTCCTTACTTCTTATTGGCAACAATTTAACTTTTCACATACCACCTGTTAAAGTGATTGTAACAAACCTTTCAGTCACCGGAACTGGGTAGTAGTTTCATTTGTTACATGTAACATATACGTAACAGGCCTGAAATTGCTAGAGTGCCAATGTTTAATGGTATTGTGACCTTTTTTCAAGACTTTCTCTTTACGTATAGGAGATTGAAATGATTTGTTACACGCTTTCACAAGCATGTTTCACTATGGTGTAGTAGGACGAGGAATAGTGATAAAGATAGTGTCGTCGCTGGGCCTCTAGCCCGCGACCATTGACTCTCCAGCCCGATGCTCTGCCGCTGAGCTAAAGGGAAATTCCCTACAGCTGACACTTGTAAGGCAACCTAATCCATGCACTTCTTTTATACTATTCCCCTCTTTTCAAATACCAACCCGGGTTCCTTGACTTCCCGCCAAGGGTTCTCCTACCTTGAACGGGGAGGGTCAACGGCACCATTTTGTAGTAGGACGAGGAGTAGTGATAAATATACTGCCGTCGCTGGGCCTCGAACCCGCGACCACTGGCTCTCCAGCCCTATGCTCTACCGCTGAGCGAAAGAGAAATCCCCTTTAGATGACGCTTGTAAGGCAACCTAATCAATGCACTTTTTTTACAATGGTGACATAAGAGAAATTAAAGTTGTTTCAGTATTATGTGCATGTAGAAACCTTTGCATGAGGGTTTGTTCCACCATGATGTAATGGGAGTCAAAGAACATTTCACAATAATGATATGGGAGAAGTGCTTGTTTCATAATGATATTGATGGTATGAGAATAGGGGTTGTTTCACGACAATAGAGTTTGTTTCACAGTAACACATATTGTAAGGGCCGAACGGGTTGTTTCAATGTAACACATGTACATGTACATTTAGTATGGGCGAAATTGGTTGTTTCCTATAATGGTGTGAGAGAAATGTATATGTTTGTTATACGCGGTGTTTCTGGAGGACCTGCTCTGTTTTTTTTTTATGTTTCTAAATTTATTGATATATTCTCATGTTTTGTCCGTTTTTTAACTCTTTAAAAACACATCATAACGTTACCCGGATTAGATCAATACGAAACCAGCCATTATCGTTATGGAAAAACCCTGCCTTTCGCGTTCTATTGATGGCTATTCAGAAGACAACGTATCGTCCGTTTGATTACAGATATATACATATGTCGATTGTCAAAGGCAGCATGCTCGCAGACCAATACGACCACCATGCAGGCGATCAACGTAGGGTGGTCGATGAATGCGCGATTACACACGTTCGTCACCCGCAGAAACAATCCAATAAGGGGTAATCGTAAATTTATTGTTTTCTCGGACTGATCATTTTCCATGTAACATGATAAATGGAGAAATGTCTTAGATGTCAAGTTATAGCCAGGGACACTTCGCTGCTAATATTCGAACTATTGACATAGGAATACATAACTCACCGATGTCGTCACTGACGAGAACGCGGTGAGGCACACGTGGTGTCCCCGGGGTCATATAGTAAAGCACACACGTGATAAACATGTCACTCCCTTGTAGATCACGACAGGGACCAATGCCACTTTGGGTCACAGCGGGTATAGGGGTGCAGGCCTCCTGGCGCATGCACGTCACTTCAGAACCCTCAGTGTACTAAA